ATTTGTAATTTTAGCAAATAAAATATGTTAACCAGTAATTGTAAGATGGAGATGACTACTCAAGAGTTAATTTTACATTTACCTTTGATGAAAGCATAGAGGCCAGATAACAGATTTTTTATTTTCATGTTACTCCAGCAAGAAAAAAATACAACAAAAAGAAGACCAGAGATGAGAAAAGAGTAGGGAAGAATATTTACTATCCCTATCCTGAAGTGTTTCCATAGCAGCTGAAACAATTATTAAAAAAAAAATACACTAAAAAGGAAGGCAAAGAAACAATACAAAAGCTATCCATCTGAAAACAAGTCATAGATTTGAACAGTTATAGTTTTCTTGTTCATTAGTTTAATCATTAAACATCATTCTTCAAATACATCACACAGGTCTTTGCAATGACATTCATAACAGCACAGAAATTTATCAGAGCAAGCAGATTTTTAGAAAGGAGTATTTATAACAAACAACACATTGACTGCTGTAGCTTCATGTCACAGAAAATGTAATCTGTATTTGCTTTGCAGGATGAGGATTTCCAAATAGGGTAAGTTTACCATTGCTCCTTTTTATCCCACTTACATTACACAAACCCAGAAACACCTTACCTGTGTTCATTCCCCTCCTGCCTTCCTCCACCTTAGCACAGAATACTGTTTTCAGTGGCATTAAGAGAAGGGACATTAATTCCTGCTACTCTGGACACTCCCACTGAATAGCCATCTTTCATATCCTCCCTTTAAGCTTTCATAAGATACACTGAATTAAAAATCAGAGACTCCAGTTTTAGAAATGCCAACAACCATGTCTGAAAGTCAACAAAGATTTGACTTTTGGGCCTCATCTGAAAGCCATCTATAGTCCGTTCCGTTTACGTATTAAGTAGCAGGCATCATCATCGCTTCGTAAATGTCAATGATCTTTCCCTGCCTTCTTTATGTGAGAAGACAACATCACCCATAACCAGTTTGTCTTTCATTAAAGTTATGAATCCTCCAGAAAACAGAGGCTGGATCACTTTGACAGCAGTGAGCAAGTGGCCTTCCATCTACATACAGCTGAGCTACAAACCCTGAACAAGTAACAGCCTCCTATGTAAGTGAAGATGCAACATAAAAGATACTGAATAGGTTCTCAGTGGTAAAAAGACATACATGGATATCTGTGTGAGAGGAAGGAAATGATGGCTTGCAATACAAGTATTTTTCTCCTTGCATCAATTTTTATAACCAGATTTCAAATGCGCAGACATGTGACATCAGGTCAAGAGGAAGTAATGGCACCATTTATGCTTCCCTTCCCATGGGAAATCACCCCACAGCAACAGAACTGGTCAACTGCCACTCACTCCTACACAACAGATCCAACCTTAATAGCATCTCATATTCAATAACAGGGCCCTGAGGAGCTCATGGGTTTAAAAAGCCATCCAGTGCATTATCTGTTTTAGAAAGGATACTTTCAAAGTACACGATTCTTGCCTTACGAGTGAACAAAAAAAGCATCATTCATTAAGCAATCCTTGAAATTTCATGCAAGAAGCTGAGTATAGAAACCACTGTCCAGGGGTTTCTGCAGTGCTCAGAATAATTTTATGCTGACATTTGTAAAGGGACAGGTGGGTGGAAAACAAGTTTAGGGAAACCAGAGAACACCTACAAGTGAAAGCTCTGCAGGACAGCAGGCTAGGAGACGGGGTAGTCTGGGGGCAGAGGACATACAGTAAAACGAATGAAGTACACATGCCCCAGAAGGAAGTGGGCATGGAAAGGCAAATAGAGAAGAAAGGTGACAGTGGTCACAATATCACTATGCAGCCTAAAGGAGAACAAGCTAAGGAAGGATTCCTTAGAAGGGGAGGATAGATTAGAAGGGTAGATCTTCATTTCTGTTATCAGCATGAGCAGACAAGAGCATACTAGATGTGCAGTTTCCAATACAGACAGTATCTCACAAATGAAAATGTTAGCCCCAAACACAGTGACCAACTTACTGATGTAGGATTTATTTTTCCAACTCCACCATCAGCCCCCACATATAAGAAAACACTGTGGCAGAGCATGCTACATTTAGCCTGGGCAAAAGCTCCAAGGACTTAGCTTTACTTGAATGCTTAAAACAACAAAACAGGACAACAACAAAAACCTCTAAAACAGGTTTTTTTTTTCTACACATTTTTCCATCAGTCTCATCTTTTCTGTCATTCTTCCAAACAAACAGACCCTGTAGTCTTTAAAATCTAATAAACCTTTCAATGACTACTAAATGAAGCCCTAGATACCAGTCTAAAAAGTTGCAGTTTCAAGAGTATCATGTCCTAGTATCATCAAGTTCCTTTTTCCACTGGTAAGACAACCTGGGTGTAACGTTACTGGGTAGTAAAAAGAGCACATTTTACAGATGCCAGTATCTCCTGAAAAGTGCTTGCAGACACAATCAGCAGCACAGCAAAGTCCTCTGCAATTACCTCCATACTTGACATCAGCTGCTCACTGCTGATGAAGCTCACATTCCCTCCTTTTCCATAAGATTTGAGCTGAAATGGAGAGAAACCATCATACACTATTTATTTTTTAATGGAAAAGATGCTACTTGATTCATTCAGCTTAACTGGTCCTGTAACACCACTTCAGAGCATTTGAAGCACGTTCTGTTGCAGGCCATAAAATCTAGAGCTGCAAAGCTCAGAGAAACTTTACTGATGAACTGCTATAAATGGTGCAACGCCTCTTTCAGTTTTTCTGACTCTCAGTGTGGGTGTTACTTTCTGTGAAAGAAAGGGAAAAAGCATGAAGAACAGATATGTAATTCAACAGAACAGTATTTAATCCTGAAAATATTAACAGCTATTACGTGCTCCAGAGCCCTCCACCAGTCTAGATATTTCAGTGGAAAAAAAAAATACCAACTTCTTACCCCAGCTTCAGACAAATGAACTACAGCCCCCACATGTGCAGCTCACATTCTGCAAACACTGGCAGCTTAGGCTTCCTTTGGAGGTCAAATTAAAGCAAGACCAAGCAGATGCTCCCATCTACTTTCAACCCTCAAGGACTACAATGACTGCCATCACCTCATTTTCTGGTGCTTCAGAACCAAAGATCATCTTAAGCAGGCTCTACAGCAAAAGCTGAACTCTTGATAAATCAGGAGTATAACCTCAAGCAAAATATTTACTGAACTTAACTATGAAGACCTCTATAAGCAAATCCTTAGCATGCTGATAACATCCATCATGTCATTTTTAGAAAATTATTTGTGCCAGGATGTTAGAAGGACTGCAGCAAGTTATGAAGGAGATGTGATGACAGGAAACATACTAGCATCTCCAGTATCTGTAAATGCACAACCTAATCTGTAAGGTAAGAGAGGCCAGATAATTCTACAGCAAGCATCTCTAGATGGCTCTATTCACATACTTCTACATTCACTTGTAAGAGTCTTACTCCATCTTTTCAGTTTCTTTTAAACAGAAATCACAGGGTTGCCAAATCCCATGTTTTAGTAAATTGATGCCAATATACACAATTATTAATATGAAAGGCACCTAACAAGATTCAAAAAGTGCTATAAAAAAATAATCCAACTATCTCCTTTACATTACTGGAGAATAAATTAAATTGGAATTTATTAGACTGTGACGCTTCTTATTAGTAAGTTCCTCCACCTGTTTTTGCAGACCAGCCTTAATGGCTGGTGATTATTTGGGCTGGAATGGAAAGAAGACTACATGTTTTTCAATTATGATAAACTTCCATCCTATTTCACGGGAAGCGTGGTTTTCAAGAGGGACAGGAAAAGTCAGCAAGAATGGACGCGTATCAAGTGTTTAGCAGCTGTGGGGAATAAACGTCTGGCACAATGCAAACTCTTACATATTAATAATATACACCGTGCAACTTCCTGTAAGAGAAATAAGAGGATACACAACGGGCTCCGGGGATGCCAACACACCTACAAATGCGGCCCAAGTTCACTAAGCAGGCCGGCACCGGCCCTTCCTCATTCCTCCAGCAGGGCAGCAGGAGGGGGAAAGTTCAGCACCGGCACCATTCGCGCACCCGCCCGGACCGCGGACCCGGCCCCCCGCCCCCTGAGCCGCGGACTGCCCGGCCGCCCCGGAGCAGCAGGGGTCACCCAGGACAGCGGCGATGCACTCGGGCGGCCTTCCCCTCACGGTCCGGACACCTGCCCGGGACAGGGGCAGCACCCCGCAGGCCGATGGCAATGCGGCTCTTCGCCGCAGCCCCCCCCGGCCAGCCCCGCTCTCCTCCCACCGGCACGGGGGCTGGAGAGAAACAAGACACGAAGAGGCGGCGCCCCGGCCGCCCCCCGCCGCGGTGGGCGCAGCGCGGGCTCGCCTCACAGCCGGCCTCGCCCCGCTGCGCTCCCCGCCGGCGCCACAAGTGCTGCCTGCCGGGCTGGGGCCGCCGCGGCCGGCTGCGGAGGCTAAAGGCACCGCTCCTTCTCAGAGCGCTCCAGTTCCCGTCCCCTCGCCCCGGTACCCCCCAAGGCTGGCGGTGCCGCCGAGCGGGATATGCGGGCAATCCCCTCTCCCCCAGTCAGGGACGCACACAGGTAGCGCCCGCACCACAGGGGCGATCCCACCCGGAGCGGCGCTGCTGAAGGCATCGCCGCAGGGGGCTGTTTACTGGCTGCGGAGGGGGAGGAGAGCAGGTGCCCACCTCCACGCTCGCTCTGGGGAAAAGGAAGAGGGAGGCAGGCAGCTTTAGCCGGCAGGAAGCGGGGGGCGAGCGGAGCGGCGGTCATGGCGGGGCGACTGGGCGCCCACCTGGGAGCAGGTGCAGGCAGGCAGGCCAGGACGCCCGCAGAGGGAAAGACGAAACTAGCGAGGCTTGCCCGGAGAACGGCGCATGTTGTGCAGCCGGCGGGGGGCACTCGCAGGTGCCTGTCACCAGGAAGGGGGGAACGATGCGGAGGAGGGGAGAGGGGAGATGCAAGAGCCGTTCCGCAAGCTGGGGACGAGAGCGCACGTTACTCACCGGCAGCTCCACGCTGACTTCGGTCCCGTCCAGGAGAAGGACGCGGCACTGCAGCACCAGCTTATTGCCGCCGGCCGCTGGGATGTGGACGGGGGCTCCAGCGCTGTGCGCGACCCCTCCGGGGTGCGGCGAGGAGGGGAAGCCTCCCGAGCCGACGGCGGCTGCTCCCCGCAGCCCCCCGTCCCGCTCGTCCCCCTCGCCGCCGAGCCCTCCGCGCCCGGCTCCTCGCCCGTAGCGCTGCATCGACCGCCGGCCAAAGGTCCTGCGCAGGAACCGCAGCATCCTGGGGGCGCCCTGCCCGGCCGCTCACACCCCCGAGCCCGCAGCTCCGCGCCCGGCCCGCGGCGCCTCCCAGGGCAACGCAGCAGCGCCGCCCGCCGGGAGCCAGCCCGCGCCGCCCGCCGGCCGCCCCGCCCTCTGCAGCGCCGCCCGCCACCGGCACGGCAGGGCGGGACGCGCTGCGGCCCCTCCTGCCGCCGCTGAGGTGGGGGAACCCAAGCGGCGGGCAGGGGGAGCTACTGAGGCGGCAGCCGGGAGCCCACCTGTAGTGGTGGTGGTAGTAGTAGTAGTGGTGGCGGTGGGGCGGTGGCCCTTGACCCGCCGGGTCCCGGCGCCTCAGCCCCGCTCGCCGCCGGCCGCAGCACTGCAGCGCAGAGAGAGCAGTGCCGAGGCGCGCCGCTCCTCCAGCAACTGCCCCGGCGCTGCGGTGGTCGGAACGATCACGCTGGCCGTTGGGGCGGTGGCTGCCCCTCGCCAACGCCCCCGGGCCGATCAGGCCTGCAGCTGGGGCTGCCGCCTCCGGGTGCTGGCTCCGCTCCGGGGAGCGGCCCGCCGGGACCTGCCGCCCAGCCGCGCACTCGGGGGCCGTGGGCGGCCCGTCCTTCGCGTCGCGCTTTCTGCTTTGCGCCCGCCCTGCGTTCCCTCCCTCCGTCTGCCGCTTCCGCCCCTTCGGACGGGCGAGAGAGGGGACGGGGGAGGTTAATAGCGAAATAACGACAAGCGGGGATGGAGAAGTAACAATCCCGGGGGAGGCTGAAGCGGCGCGTTCCGCAGGGAGAGGGAGGAGGACACCGCACCGCTTCTCGCACCATCGCCGGTGGTGCTGCTGCCTGTAGCCCTTGAGCACAAACGCATCTGCCTAGTGTGTGAAAACGCGCCCGCATTTGCCTTTGCAGTCAACGTGGTCTGGTGATTTGAGGAAACGTACTAGAATGTGATCCCGTGGTAAAGCGGGCTAGCCAAACCTTCCTGGGGTTTCGCTCCCTTTAGTTTCTGCAGCTGTGAGGAAGCAGTACGTGTTTATTTAAGTGTCATAGCAACTCCATAGGTACAAACACTCTCACGCAGTCGCTCTTCCAATAAGTTAAATATTTAGTTATTCTGGGTCGGGCAGGAGCACTTTTGTTTAGTTGCCATATAGAAAATACTGGACGTGAATGGACACAATCAGTAGGACTAATGGCACCCTATGGTCAGATGTGATCTAAGGGGCTTTGAGCTAAAATTGCTGCTTCTAAAGTTTGGTGGGTTCCTTTTTTTCTGCTGTGGGTTTACTAACCTTGCTTCCAGGCTGGTTTACACAAGCATTGCCTATTAGGTATTCAGAAAGCCTGCCAAAATGTCTCAGCTTGTCACTTTTCTTTACTGAGACTTGGTAGTGTTAGGTAACTACCTGCTGCTTCTGCATCCTTTTCCATGTTTCTCCAATGCACTAGATCAGGTCTTGAAGTGTCTCATCAGCTGAGACTATCACTAAATTGCATGGTCTTTGGCAAAGATGCGCACCCAGCCCTTTTGCACTGTGCAGCTGAATAAAAGAGCTTTTCTAGAAACAGAGTGGAAAGGTGCTGATCTTTGCCTGCTAGTGTTCATATCAAGAGCAGACACTTATTTTGGGCTTTTTCCTAATTTTTTTTCTTTGCATTAGGAGCAGAATTAGAATATCTTTCAGATCCTGTGCAGCATACCTTGGGATTCTGTCACTGCCTTGAATACTGGGAAGATTTCAAGGCCAGGTTGGATGGGGCTTGGAGCAGCCTGGTGCAGTGGAAGGTGTCCCTGCCCATGCCAGGGGGTTGGAACTGGATGATCTTTAAGGTCCCTTCCAACCCAAACCATTCTATGATTCTATGAAGACATCACAGTCCCATGAAGCTCATTTGCATACCATAAGCAACACAAATGATCTTAAGGGTTAGAAATTCAGCAGAAATACTGTTGTCTCTTGACAAAGCAACAGCAATCCTGGTCCAAAGGAGAGGGGGGTGGAAGGGAGGTGGGCATCAGTCAGGTCTGGCCTGGCAGAAAACTGAGCAAGTCTTTGCAATGCTAAAAAGCTTATTTACTCAGCTGTAAAGCTGTAAAGAACTTCAGCCGTTTGAATCTTTCAACTTTTGTCATGAAAATAGAAGTCTGGTATTTGTAAATACATAAACTTAGGCTTGCTTGACTTGCATTAGCAGCACACAGAGTATGGGCCATAGTGGTCATACCCCAGAGGCAGTGCTGTATTTACAGAACTGCCATAGAGATGCTGAGGTCCCATTGAATCTCATAGTAAGAATATGAGATAATGCTCATGGTAGAGGATCTTCCTGAAGGAGCTGGTGGTGGGAGGACATAAAGCTTGTTCTTCAGTACCCGGCCTCTTCTGGAGTAAAACAATTCCACCAGTATTTTGTCTCATGTTAAGAGCAGAGCTATCTTTAGCCCTGAAACAAGAGGCTTGAGCAACTGTGGGTACTGGGGGTGTCATGATACATTTACTGCAAGATGAGAGGTATTTAAACTAGTATTTACATTTGGATTGTATTTATACATTCCACCCATCTACATCCTCTCTCCATTTTCAGGTGGGCAAACCCTAAAGTGGTTTAGTTTGCTGGTGCCTCTGCCCTGCAGTCCCTCCTCAGAGTACCTGCTACTTGCTTGCTTTTCAATGAGAAGCACAAGCAGAAACTGCTGTGATCCTTAGCTGTACTGTAGTTAAGGGCATTACTTTTAAATCTTTATCAAAATATTTATCCATTTAAACATCTACATCTGATGGAGTATTTGATTGCTGCCATGGGAAAGGTGGTGACCTAGTTGTACTGACCATTATCATAGTTCTAGTAGCAACCCTCGCAGGCAACCAGCCTTTGCAGTGATTTTGCCATAGTGCTAAGCAGTATGTAAATGGGAGAGTATTTGTCAAAATCCTGACATTTGAGTAGCGACAGCAAGATGGGGGATCTATAAGCATTGGAGGCAGTATTGCTGGTCATGGCTAAATAGCAAAATAAAAGCATGATAAGCCCTTTATTCTTGCCCTGTCAGTTCAGAGTTTTGGTTTTGTTCAAATTTGTCTGATTGCTGTTTGAAAGTTTCCTAATGGTGGCAGCCACCTGAATGGGGATGGGGAGGAAACTGCTAACAGTCCCGTAAGTGTCTGTGTTAATAAAACTGGGGAGGGGAAAGAAACTTGTAACAAATACATTCACTCAAACTTTAGGGTATGAATTTACTGGGTTTTGTTTTCTAAGCTTGTAATTAAACACTTTTGTCAAAAAAAAAAGAAAAGGAGATTCAGGATTTCAGCATGAGCACTCATTGGATTACATTCATGTAGCAATTGGCAGTTCTATCTGTTTATTTTCCCCAAAAGCATGTCAGGCTTAATGCCTCTGTTTTTCAGGATTGCTTTATATAAACATCAAGAATAAAATGCAAAGGTAATTCTGAGTTACATAGCTAAGGATCATTTGCACTTCTGTGCCGTCTTTCAGCTAGAGAGAGCCCAAAGCACTTTTATTTAGGAAAAAAAAAAAAAAAAGAGAATGATATGTAGAACTATTTCACCAACACTGAAATGCAGTGGCTGTTTAGCAGCAGAAAAAAAATAATACTAAGAATCCCTCTTATATAATTGTCATGGAAGTATGAATTTGGATAGTCAGAATGCCATTTTGTAAATGGTATGGCCGTGATGCTGGGGCTAGTGGATGATTCCTGCAAAAGGTACCACACAATTATAGGCTGGGTTTTCCTTTATACTGCATCAACTATCTCCCCAGTGCGTTACAAAAGAACTGCATTAGCATAAAAACTTAATATTTCTCCATTTGGAATAATACCATTGTTACAGTAGGCATGAATTTTGGCAGCTATTGCTGGTCATGACAATCCTTATGTTCTGGGGACAAAATTTCTTTCTGTCAGAATAAATAAGAAAAGTGGCTTATTCCAAGACTAAGTTTGTCCTCTCAAAGAGCTGTTCTAGTATATCCGGAGAGGTTTATCGATAAGGGTGTAAGAGCAAAAACCTTTCCATTAGAAAATCTACAGAAATAAAAAGTTTCTTGCTGAGTGAACACTTTGCAATGCCTACAATAAGCAGGTTCAATATTATTTAATCAGATGTTCTTTCCTTTAGTGAGGATTTTATCAGATTTGTACTGACCTCAATGCATAGAAATTATTTGTATTCAAACCTATGATTAGGTTTAAAGCATTAGCGAAAAAGTTTTCAATGCTGTGTTAAAGTGCAAAGATATCAGATGCTCAGCTGAAAAACCGGCATCTTTGCACTGGTGAACTGTTTTGATATTAATCTTAGGGGAGCCTAGAAGACTGCTCAGAATATTACCTGTAAAAAAGCATCACATGCTGAAACAGTAATGTTCCCTTGAAATATTTTCTGCCAGTAATTATGTGTCTTTTAACTGTATCTCCACTGAAAAGAGATACCCATGGCTTCTTATGCTGTGCAAGGATTGATAAGATCTGAATCTCTGCAATAAAGAGCCCTTTGACTGACACAGCAATGTTGAGTGGTACCTTGTATAGGTGTGATGGAGCAATGAGCTGGTTATGAAAACCCCTGGAAACCTTCAGTATTTATCAAAAATAACCCTAGAAATAAAACAAAGGTGGAGGTTATAACGAATAAACTTCACATTAGATGTGGATAATGAAAAGAAGCTTAAGTCAGCTGCTTGAGAATTTTTACTCCACTGCCAGGACATTGTTGCCAGCTTTGGCAACAGAAAGATCATCTTCTCATGTGGAGACTTGGACTCTTCATCTCTTAAACTGTTCTCAGAGTCATAGAACAAGGGACAGAAGGACAGGGCACTGTACCTGAAGGAAGGGGAGCTTGTTTGCGACAAACTAGTCAACAAATGAAGAGCTGAGTTAAGCAAAGTATTTCTAAGGGAACAAAAGAGAAAGAAGCAGCAAAAATAAAAAAGAAAAAGATGCATTCACTGACATGACTGCTGAGTCAGTTTATTTGTCCTATGTCTACCACTAACAAGAAAAATGGAAGGAAAAATCAAGACTGAAAAACTGAACCATCAGTGCCAGTAGGTTAAATAAAAACAGAAATAAGAAGAAAGAATACAATCTTTATTTCCAATTTGTAAAT